AATGCCAACCTTGAAGACGCTAAAAATGCACAACGGGAGTTTCCCCGGGGATCTGTGCGAGGCTCTTACGCGAATCAACGATGCCCAACCACCTTCCGAAGACCATCCACTCCCGGAACTCCAAACTCTCCATTTAAGTGCGGCTAGAGTCCTCAACAAGTCGAGTTTCCACCATATGCTGGCTAGTCACCCGCTTCGAGAAGTTGTACTTGGAGGAAATTATCAGGCTCGTCAAGGACAAACAGTCGGTTGGGTGCCGCTCCGAGAGCAGAGCAGCGTAATCAAATCGCTCAGAAATAATATGCCAAATACACATATTCGCCTGGTTAGTGCTGAATATCACCCTCCAGAGCTCCGCCAGGACGAGTGGAAACTATGGTGGTTGACATAAATTCAACTTCTGGTGTTTGGGAGCACTCAGCGCGTTCAATCATTATGTAGGACCAATTCCTACTTCTTTTCTGTATCTACACCAGAATTATATTATTACGCACACAATTTGAGTTGAAAGATGCCCGAACTTGCTCGTGTCGTTGGCCTATTTGGGTTTATGATACTGCAGCCGTGTGCTCGCCAGCCAGGGGGCTTGTCGCGGAATTTGCAATTAGAATTGCCCCCAGAATCCAAATCTTGACTCCCCCGATCACGACCAAAATCCCAACTATCCAAGTCAAACCTTTCTACCCAGTAAAAATATTAATTTTTGCATCGAATGAGCTCATCGGGTGTAGGTCGCACACTGTTGAAACAATCCCAAGATACTAAATTAATGAGGTTCAAGCATTCATCGTGTTCCACGACCAGTCGATGGGAGGAGGCTGGGACATCTCTCGTGGTTGCGGTCAAGGACTATTTGGAATTGTGCCTCAATTTGGGAACCGACTCGTTGCCCGAAGACGCAAACTCGAAGGATCTCGTATCCAGGATCGATTCCACTCTCGCAGTAGCACACACGGCTATTTCTTGTCACCTAAATAAATCCAGCTCTGCTCTGGCGCGGACTCGAAACAGGCTTGCATCCTCTTTCTCCCGCTTTCCTGAAGAGGTTCTGTCTGAGATATTCATGCATGTCGTTTACGGTCGCAGCAACACGAGGACATCCGGATATCTACCGATGGAGCAAGAAATCCGGCTCATCTATCGTTCTCTTTATGCCTTGCTCGGCGTCTGCTCCTCCTGGAGGGATATGGTGATGAATAGAAGCGTGTTTTGGTCGATTATACCGATTTTTTCGAGTTCGTCCGCTAACAAGTGGAGACCCTTTGGACTCAGCCTGCAAAGATCTGACGAGAGTCCACTACATTTGGCGGCGGTTACCAAATCGACTGATTCATCAATTGAAGTCCTTGCCGTCCTTGCCAAGCATGGCTCTCGTTTCCGTACTATTAACATCAGTATGGACAATATAGCGGTAATCAGGGAGGCAATTAACAGGCTATTGCAACATAACGCCCCCGGATCACTCTCCGAATTATCTATTCAGTTCAGTGACATGTTTGATTTGATTGATGGGTTACCTCGCGATGACGACTATATTATCCCTCGTAACTCTCCTCAACATACTTCGTTCCTTGGCTTATTGGGGGCTCTTAGAACCTTTCGCCTATGGGGTGCCCACTTTCATTGGGACACCGTAAACTTTTCTAATCGTCTTGTCGAGCTTCAGATCGAGGAAGTAGTGCTTGGATATGATGACGCAATTGTTCCGTTCGTACGGGCTCTCGCTTCAGCGCCCAATCTAAGAGACCTGAAAGTGATCTCGGTGGGTACCTTCCAAAGATCAGGTACAACTCCTGCTGAAATCCACCTTCATTGCCACTCGTCACGTTACCATCTCTTCAATCGCTGCTCCTTCGGGACTTGTACCTCAACACCTTGGACTACTTGCTTTCGACCATCAGCCGCGGCTCTTATCACTTGACACTCTTCCTAACCTCCAGTAGTGCCATGATCAATACTTTGGAGGCCGAGTTTGCTGATCACAAACATTACGATGGCTTATTCGGCGCACTTAGGCGCACGTCGGTTGATATGCTAATGGTGGATGGGTATCTTTATAGCCAATGGTTGACGGGGTCAATGTTTGGCAGACTCCTCAAGGCGATGCCAACCCTGAAGACACTAAAAATGCACAAATGGGACTTTAACGAGGGTTTATTCAGGAACTTAATGCGAACGGATGATACTCAAACACCCTCCGAGGGTCCGGTACTGCAGAGCATCCACTTGACTTCGGCCCTCATTCACTCCGAGCAAGGATTTCGGGATATGGTGGCTAGTTATCCGCTTCGACAAATGGTACTTGGAGGGGTTTTCTATGTCGCCCGCCATGATCAAAGACCCCTTGGGGAGGAAAGTAGTATGGTGCAATGGCTCAGAGAAAACATACCAGACCTAGAGCTCCTTCTGGTTGAGCCTGGGTATTGCCCCCCAGAATTCCAAGACTTTAACTCTGGGTCGAGCTCATGGCCACTGT